GGGTGCAATTTTTCAGAGTAGGAATCTTGTCCGACTTGTCCATCTTCAGGACATGCAGAATTTAATTGGCTTGTTCGATACTTTTGGTCTTGCGTGGCTCGCTCGCATAGTTTTGTTAGTTTAGTCAAGGTGTGCAACGACTCTTTGGTAATTGCGAAGTTCCTCCCACCACAAAATTATGAATTATGCTTCATATAATTTAGACACTGCATCCCGACCAAAAAGACGGTGACGGCAAAGGGAACGTCACCAAACAAAAGGTGAGCAAAAAAGTGGTTCTGCAAGTGCGTTTTGAATCTTTGTAAATTTCTTTGCCGTCCTCTGCAAATCAACAACGTGAAATGACAGAGTCGCACGTATTTTGGAGAACGTGTTACCGCAATGGCTAATTTGTCGTGCCTTCCTTTGGAATTGAACGCTGTCATAGCATATTTAGCCCGAGCAGCTTTTTAGACCGATAGGCGTACTGAACAGATCTACACAGTTGCAAGATTCGAGGGTAAAATATAAGTACCTTTTTTACAAGGTGTCGTCCTCGGCGCGTCGCCGTCGTCATCGCTAAAACTCCCTATTATTTGTTTTCATATTATACGTATCGCTCAGTAGACCAAAAATAGGTTTTTATAAAATTATAAAAACTTTTTTTTTCAAGGACCATTGCAGTTTCTGTTATTGAATTCCTCAAAATAGAAACCGATTTATTAAATAATGATGACACACAGTGACGTAAACTTGAATTAGTCGGCGACTTCAATTGGTATCAGTGTTAACCGGAAAAAACCAAACCTGGTTGCCATGCAAAAAGAGATGATTTAAGACTGAAGAAACGTTCTCCATTCCAAATAACAGATTTGCCTATCTGGTATAGGAAGCTACAGATCTGACGGGTAAGAATTTTATCCTTTGTTATTGTATTCGATTCCATGTCGAACATCGGGAAAATGAGGTGGTGTTTTCCTTAACTTCATACATAAAGTCAAATGCCTTCGGATATCAATCATCTAAGTTGAACAAACTTTTCGTTCTTTCCAAATTTCCTCCTCTTTCAATAATGCAACTTGGCACTGAAATTGTGAAACATGTTGATAACTGCAAAGGCAGCTCTTTTTATGAAGTCAAGAAAGAATACATCTTGACTGAGCTTTTTATTAAAACTGCCGTCACACTGTCTTAAACTACTAGAAACACATCTAACTGAATTTGAAATACAATACACATGAAAGGCCTGATGACCTATCTAGTATTTAGCAGGCCCTTAGCTTGAAGACTTTGCAACGCAAATTTCCTCGGAAAATCTAATTTTCCTCAGCTTCCCAAATCAGTCCAACCTGTAATCAATTACACATCAAGTGAAGGTGTTTTACAGAACTGTTACCAAATACGCAGAGCTGATATTGTTTCACATGTTAGGTCTGATTGAAAACTAGTAAGGCTAGAAAGAAAGCTTGAATATCGGTCTGAATGTGAAGACTTAAGCAAGAAGCTCTCGTTTCGTCTAAGACTCATTCAATTCTGCTGATATATTTTATAGGAATATCGAGGCTGAAATTTGGAAAGGAATAAGCCCGAGGTTAAGATTTTGAAAAGAATATAATTTTGCGTGTTGAAATTTGTAAACACAAACAATTATATGTTTTTAAACAAACCGCACTATATAATTCTTCCTCTATCTATAAACGGCAAAATTATCCAAAAAGCAACAAAAACAGCACTATAGCCGTATGTTTGATGCTAATGTGCGTCATCAGACCTTATTGCCTGCAGGCTGGAACTAAAATTAGTTTAACAACATGTAGACACCAAATACATTCGAAAACAGATATGTCTTATGCTGTTATCTAAGAATATTCACATAAATATATTCAGGCTAAAATCGGCAGACAACAACGCAGACTTTTCGGATAAAACCTCCTTTGCCAGTCCAAATGGTCTGTAAAGATATTGAACAAATCAAACCTTTGCGTCCGTGATAAGCCTGTTCAGTGGCGCAGATCTGCTTGAAACTGAATTATTGTGCGCGCGGACATCCTGGTCGAAATGAATGTAACTGATCAGAACTTAAAATGAATGTTCATAAAGTCATGAAAAGCGTTCCAAGTCGGTAAATGACGTACCTCTCCTCTCGTCACCTTCTGTCTATATACTCACTTGACGTTATTACCGCTATCAGGGAGGTCATTTTATTGTAGTAATTAATGTCCATTACGTGAATTTCAGGGTCAATTTTGAGTGAATTCTTCAGTTGTACCCAATCGAAAAACGTTACGCATTTTCAATATCAGAGGGAAAATATAGCTGTTTTGGGGCCTTAAACCATTATGTCGAGTCATTGTTATTAAAAATAGTCGGTGGTCTGAAAAGTTTTAATTTTCTAGTTGCAAATATATAGGCATGTACACTCATTACATGCATGACCGAGTATATATATCGGAGCTTGCCGCAATTGAGTTTCATAGACGCACGAGTTGACAGCAATTCATTTTGGGTATAAGCGGCGTAGCCAGTGTTGCACAATGATTATATGACTGAGAAAATTACTTCACTGTGATTGGCTGAGAGCATGCCAATTTATCATTAATTCTTAATTAGAACTGCAGTGCAAATTAACGCAAGCGCGTTAATTCGCACTATTCTCAGTCATATAATAAATGAGTATATAATTGTTTGAAAGCTCGAGCAGGCATTTATACTACTCGTGATATTTGAAATTTCTTGAATGTTGAGAGAATTTTCAAATATGTCACTTGTCGTGTAAAACTTAATTGCACTCGCAATCATACGATTACCTAGACTTATTGAATTGGACCGCAGTTGCGGAGACTAAAGGTCCCAATATGGAAAATTTGGCCAGATTGTTCTCATACAAGTATGTACGGCTCAGTCCAAACGTAGGTATAGGCCAAATCTGCATACGAGCCAAGTGGCCTATCAGACCGGAGCTTATCCCGGTTTCTGTAGCATGAAGAGACTAGGAGTATTTCTCCTCCCCCTGGAGGGTTCCCCCTCCCCTCCCCACAGTGATCCATTTAGGCACTGGAGGTAAGAGAGGCACTATGAGAGTAAAGTGTCTTGCCCAAGAAAACAACGCAATGTCCCCGGCCAGAACTCGAACCTGGACCGCTCGATCCGGAGACGAGCGCATGCGCACTAACCACGAGGCCACCCTATCACACCAATATCTGTCAATACAGACTGAACAAGCTAATTCAATAAAGATGCTGAATTTATTAAAGATCTTTTTAATATGACATTTTCGATAAATAAATACTTACATGCTTAGTAATTGCACACGACAGATCGAGTTCAGGGTATACTCGAGCATTTTCGCAGGAAAAACTTTGACCAAAACTGGTGGGAACACATGACAGAAATTAAGTTGTGTATTCGGACTCGTCCATCTTAGCTGTTGGATCCTCTTGAATAAAGGTCAAGGAATCGGATCTGAATGCTTCTTTTAATTCTATCATCGATCAGGTCAAGTTGCAATAGGTAAACATTTTTCAAATGAAACAAGCATGGATAATCAAATGTTGACGATTGAGTAAATTTAGGAAATAATTTCACGTGCGTTTTGTCAAAATTCTAGGCGAGGGAAATTATTAGAACGTTGACAAAACGTAAGTGAAATTATTTCCTAATTAATTATACCATCTGATTACCTTTAAAAATCGCGGGTGACAAATTACGCTTACAATCATGAGATTTTGATTTGTTTATTGTATCCGAAATTTCGCGCGAAAACGTTACTATGGCAATTTTATAATTTGACATGTAAAATTAGACGCTGAAATTTTGCGCCAAAATTAAGGAGTAATTTGTCACCCATGATATTATTACGGCTACTTTTTCAGTGGTCACCACAAACCCTGTCAGTGTCAGTTTCATACAAGCAATCAAGCTTCTCTCTGTAAGTTTTTCTTTGAGTTTTTAATATCCACGGATATGATTTAGTCTCTACCCAGAGCTTTTAATAAGTTGGTCACAGCTTGACCAAAACGTTATCCAAGACGCCATTTTGACACCTGCCGGCTATAAAAAAAGTCCTTTAGGGTGACAGACTCTTGCATGTGAATCACGTAATTGTTTGAGGCTTTAGCTTATATACCGAGTCGCAAACTGAAAAACATGGAAAAAATGTTGCACGAATGGAAGCATATCAGTGTATGATATGACGTGCGCTTTTTGTTAAATTTGTGTAGAGGGGAATGAACATGCATTGTGTAATCGAAATGTAAATTTAGCTCCCAAATGTTGCCTAAAGGACTACGCATAAAGATTATCACGACTGTAGTACCTATTAGTATGAGACTGAGTGGGAGCGTTAAAGTAGTTGTGCAGATGTAGTTTCTACGAAGTCATCATGACAAGGTGTTTTCTTTTTCCACGACACTAGTGCTTGGTCAACCCTGAAAGTGAATGTGTTTTCATATAAAAAGCTTGAGGTCGTTCAAGTTTCATTTCGTCATTTGCCGCATCCTGTGCAAACAAGACGTGAATTTGTAAGCAGTTCGCGAACTTACGGACTGAAACGTCTGAAAAAAGCCGTGCTGTTACACATGTACGCTTCGCTCCTTGGGTAACAAAACAAATTACTCCCACTACAAGCGATGATGCGGTTTTGTTTCGTTCCGGGCTGTTACTCCGTCTCTTTGTTTTCGCTTCTCGCCGTTTCTTAGTTGGAATAATGCCGTGTAATTGTTATTGAGAGGGAACGCAGTTTTTTACAAATATGTGAATCAGCTGTGATACATCATCCTAAGAAAAAACGCACACATGACAACTTGTAGAAGACAATAAACTATATCCGCTGTATTATACTGCTCTATTCGTTTAATTATGTCCGTGAAAGGAAAGCTTGTTATGGCACTTAGCGCCTCAATAGTTTTCACGAAAAAAATGGCATTCTCCAATCACGCGTGACTCTTACGTCATTATGACGTCATTGGAGCGATGAGTCAAACAATTTCATATAAACTGCAAACACGACATGTGCAAAAATAAATTGCACTCTACTTTTGCTGTCTTTGAAGACTTATGCGTTAAAGTAAGAAAAAGATTAGTCGTCATAATCGACGTATGTTGCGAAATTTAATGTACATTGGAAATTAATCAAGAGTGACTTCTTGACTGCAAGACCTACGTGATGCAAACTGGCTCGAGATTCAATTGACCGAATTTGCAATTTTCGCCACAGAAATTAATGGAATGACTTTTTAAACAAGCGAATTAGCAAATCGTTGGCTCATTAGTCAAATTAACACCAAGCGGAGCATGACACTATCTCGACGACCTCTCTCCAAATAGCCGCATCTATTTCAAGATCAGCTTCTAACAATAAGTTTCATCGATTTTTCTTCCATTTATGTTATTTTGACGGGAAGCATCTGGTCTTTTATCTTTGCCCAAAGTAGCTACGTCAAAAGGCAATTTTCTCTTCTTGCTCGGGGTAAGTTATTTCTTATTTTTTTTCTGCAAATTTGCATTCGCTTTGAACGTCCCTAAACTTTTAGTGAAAACATAAGATCGAGTGGGTTTCTGCTTGATTCTCTTTCCCACTCCCGGAAAATAGGACGATTTTAATGACTGACGTATAACGGCTTTTTCCTGCATATTTTCCTTCCGTCAAGAATTAGTAAGTCGGGAAAAACAGCGTAAGCAATGTCTAAAAAAATAGTACAAAACGAGGAATAAGGAACAGTTGGAATCAGCTCGTGTTGTTTAAACTAAGAATAGATAGGTTACGTTAGGCGCTAAGAGCGAATAGTTCTATGTAGGCTCTCAGCATAGCATAAAATATGGTGGAGAAGAAAAGTTTTAATTGAAAATATATCATCTTATATTTATGACAATGCTTGATTTGATTTCTTGTGACGGAACGTACCAACTCCACGTACCTATTACGGGTTTTATTTGCAATATTTTGTAGCCTAAGGCTGTGTTTAAAGCATGCTTGGTATGTCATCCAGTTTATTATTAATTCAGTATTAATTGCCGCAGTTTAATTTTACCTGAATTTTTCCTGTTTACTTCCATCACTCACCCAGTTGGTGTACGTGAGCCGTGCCATTCTTTCCCAGATTTCGTCATGTTCTTCTTATTTTCAGGGGGGTGCGAAGGAAGCGGAAGTGAGGTCACCAAAGCGTCTCGATTGGTGTTCTTGTCACGTGGCCACAGAAAATAATGGCGGACATAGTAATGGTCGCCTTCATGAATAACGGGAGATGAAGATGTCTTGGAGAAGATCGTATGATTTTACTCCACGGGTAGTAGAAAATGAATTGGATTCGTCAGACGACAGTGACTCCGAAGCTGGAACCGAAAACCTTAAATTGTATCACCGAAGAAAATCTACGGTAACTGCTGTGAAAGCCAGGGTGAGTAAAGTCATGTTGGCTAAAAATTACAACCGGCAAGAAATGCTCAGCTCTTCTCGAGATACTAGGTAAACCTGTCGTCGCTTTATTCTTGACAGACCATTCTAGGAATTTCCAAAGGCAATATATTAAAACTTTTAAGCCTAGAATGTTTAATTTCTAGTTTTCTTTTGTTTACGAAACACTGCCAGTGTGAATTCGGTCGATGTTCGATTGTGGAGAAATCTGTGGTGAGTTGTACTCGCTGTGGAATTGATCTTTGCTGCTGTACGGCAACGAGAGTTTTAGATTCTATTTTTTCCGCCATGTTCTAGGAGAAAAAATGTGATCGAAGAATATTTCCACGAAATCAAGATTTGTGGTAATTTTCGTGGCATATGATCACGAAGAGTCGGTCACCCGTACAGGGTGACTTTTGGCATTGTGCTAGCGTATATCAAAACAAATCTCTCGCTGTTTATAAGAACCTTTGTAACTGTAACCTGTTTCTACCTGTCTCCTCTAAAACATGCCTAAAATTTGCACTTTTACGTTTCAAAAAATGGCATTCATGCCCAACATGATGGTACGCTTAATATTCGATCCGCTATTTTTGAATCGCACTGTAGGTCAAAATGTGAGGATTTTCATTCGGCCGGCCGTGAAACCAATATATTTATAGGTTCATTTTAAGTAGCATTAGTCTTGCCTGTTGTAACATTTTGGTGATCTTATGTGGGTTGATGTTTTGGCTAAGAGAATTTTTGATTACCAGACCGCAAGCTTGCTAGCTACCTAATGTATGCACCTGTGTGTTCGTTTTGAATATAAATATAGTTACTGAGTAGTCCCTGTTGTTGTGGGTTTGCGTCACGGCTCATTGAGACCGGAAAATGAGATGGTGCAAAACTATTGAAAATCGTTGTTATTGTGAGCAGAAAGAATTACTCTGCGATTATTTTCTCGTCACTCTTTCTAATGCTCGCCTTTCAAACGGTTTTTAGATTTATTTTCTTCGGGATCATTGCTTCAAGTTACACTGTCCATATGAGATATTTGTAAGAAAATCGATCTCAGTCGCCTTTCATACAACCCTGGCCAAAAAAGATTGCTTAGTATGATGGCAAAATTTGCAACCGAAAAGGTCCAAAGGGGAGATCAAACGGTAGAGGTGTAAATCAATATTGTATCAGCTTGTACATGTTTTAATTCTGATCGCAGTTACTTATATTTTCAGTTATGTTTTTCAGGGTTGTATCAAGGAGGGATTTTTGCTCAAACAAACCGGTTCATTTCAGGTAGGTCCAGTATTTTTCTCTGGAAATTGACCTTGTCAACCTAAAATAACACAGATACATTATAATACAACGAGGACAGTATAAATTTGTCCTTAAAATTTTGTTTGCACTCAGTGAAGTAAGACAATGAGCAATTTAAATATAACTTTGCAGTGGTCATATCAATTTTGTGACGAGAATTCTTATTTGCCCACTGACTAAAGATGAAGCGCAACATTAGTTGTTTGTCCAGATCAAAAAATCTTTTGTAATCTTTGACAAATTAGTAAGGAAAGTATAATCTAAAGAGTTTTAATGCATAAAATTGTCAGCCCATCCCTCTCGATAATGTTCTCCAGCCTTTGTTAATAATTAATGGCATTTTCCCAATCAAAATTTAAATCCCAATTTAAGGATGATAATTTCAAAAAACAGTCTTTTGTGTAGCCAGCACAACAATGGAATATTTTCTAATTAAACTGAGATGTCAAAGTGAAAAAATGACATCTTATTATGCTGCTTATACCATACTGCTGAAAGTTTTGCTCGCGATCAGATTGAGTGTATGTTTGGATTGGTACAAGCCATTTTAGGTTAACTTGTCCTGTTTATATGCAACCATAAACTCCCTAGGGCGAACAAAATTCACTAACTCCCTAGGGAAACAACAACTTGAACTTTCCGCTCACACGTGATCAGTTCGTGCTCCTTGAAACCAAGGCAAATTTGTGAGCCAACCGGCGTCAATTCAAGCAATCGATTTCTTCGCATTTTTTTTTTTCTATTCTTAAGTTGGGGCGTATAACAAAACACTTAATGACTGGTCCCGGTGGAAACATGAGTCTTGTTTCCCCTCGACCTCAATGTTCCATTCCAACATTGACGGGCTCATTGAGTCTTGTTTCCCCTCGACCTTAATGTTCCATTCCAACATTGAGGGGCTCGGGGAAACAAAACTTACTTTTTCCCTTGGGGCCAATCATTAAGTGCGTATTACCTTTGATATTTCTAAATTAGTTGGCTTTTTCTGCGACTTGCGAATTTGTATGAAAGTTCATTTTTCTTTCTTCACTATAAGACTTGTGACTTGATCGGTTTGATTTCAGCGCTTTTTAATGCCATATGCACTGGAAGCGACCGGAGGCCGACTGTATTATTAGTATTATTTTATCACGAATGCCGTTCTCTGATTGGCTACGCTACTCACTATCTATTATGTGATAGACAGTGAGTAGCATAGCAGCGTGCGCTTGTTAACAAAATGACGGCCGCTTCTTGGCGTTTTCGAAGTGTCTGTGAAGAGGATTTAGACAACGTTTTGAACGACTAGTAGATTTAGACTAAAACAATTAGATAATTAGTTGTCGTCAACTATCACGCGATAGAATTCTCGAGCTCATAATCTAATTGTTTAATAGAAAATTATTAATAATTGTCTTCTTCTATATTATTTAGGGCCCCTGAATACTACAGAAGTTCGCTGAATGAACCATTATATTTTCGACTTATTTTTGAGGATGAGGGTGCAATTTTTCAGAGTAGGAATCTTGTCCGACTTGTCCATCTTCAGGACATGCAGAATTTAATTGGCTTGTTCGATACTTTTGGTCTTGCGTGGCTCGCTCGCATAGTTTTGTTAGTTTAGTCAAGGTGTGCAACGACTCTTTGGTAATTGCGAAGTTCCTCCCACCACAAAATTATGAATTATGCTTCATATAATTTAGACACTGCATCCCGACCAAAAAGACGGTGACGGCAAAGGGAACGTCACCAAACAAAAGGTGAGCAAAAAAGTGGTTCTGCAAGTGCGTTTTGAATCTTTGTAAATTTCTTTGCCGTCCTCTGCAAATCAACAACGTGAAATGACAGAGTCGCACGTATTTTGGAGAACGTGTTACCGCAATGGCTAATTTGTCGTGCCTTCCTTTGGAATTGAACGCTGTCATAGCATATTTAGCCCGAGCAGCTTTTTAGACCGATAGGCGTACTGAACAGATCTACACAGTTGCAAGATTCGAGGGTAAAATATAAGTACCTTTTTTACAAGGTGTCGTCCTCGGCGCGTCGCCGTCGTCATCGCTAAAACTCCCTATTATTTGTTTTCATATTATACGTATCGCTCAGTAGACCAAAAATAGGTTTTTATAAAATTATAAAAACTTTTTTTTTCAAGGACCATTGCAGTTTCTGTTATTGAATTCCTCAAAATAGAAACCGATTTATTAAATAATGATGACACACAGTGACGTAAACTTGAATTAGTCGGCGACTTCAATTGGTATCAGTGTTAACCGGAAAAAACCAAACCTGGTTGCCATGCAAAAAGAGATGATTTAAGACTGAAGAAACGTTCTCCATTCCAAATAACAGATTTGCCTATCTGGTATAGGAAGCTACAGATCTGACGGGTAAGAATTTTATCCTTTGTTATTGTATTCGATTCCATGTCGAACATCGGGAAAATGAGGTGGTGTTTTCCTTAACTTCATACATAAAGTCAAATGCCTTCGGATATCAATCATCTAAGTTGAACAAACTTTTCGTTCTTTCCAAATTTCCTCCTCTTTCAATAATGCAACTTGGCACTGAAATTGTGAAACATGTTGATAACTGCAAAGGCAGCTCTTTTTATGAAGTCAAGAAAGAATACATCTTGACTGAGCTTTTTATTAAAACTGCCGTCACACTGTCTTAAACTACTAGAAACACATCTAACTGAATTTGAAATACAATACACATGAAAGGCCTGATGACCTATCTAGTATTTAGCAGGCCCTTAGCTTGAAGACTTTGCAACGCAAATTTCCTCGGAAAATCTAATTTTCCTCAGCTTCCCAAATCAGTCCAACCTGTAATCAATTACACATCAAGTGAAGGTGTTTTACAGAACTGTTACCAAATACGCAGAGCTGATATTGTTTCACATGTTAGGTCTGATTGAAAACTAGTAAGGCTAGAAAGAAAGCTTGAATATCGGTCTGAATGTGAAGACTTAAGCAAGAAGCTCTCGTTTCGTCTAAGACTCATTCAATTCTGCTGATATATTTTATAGGAATATCGAGGCTGAAATTTGGAAAGGAATAAGCCCGAGGTTAAGATTTTGAAAAGAATATAATTTTGCGTGTTGAAATTTGTAAACACAAACAATTATATGTTTTTAAACAAACCGCACTATATAATTCTTCCTCTATCTATAAACGGCAAAATTATCCAAAAAGCAACAAAAACAGCACTATAGCCGTATGTTTGATGCTAATGTGCGTCATCAGACCTTATTGCCTGCAGGCTGGAACTAAAATTAGTTTAACAACATGTAGACACCAAATACATTCGAAAACAGATATGTCTTATGCTGTTATCTAAGAATATTCACATAAATATATTCAGGCTAAAATCGGCAGACAACAACGCAGACTTTTCGGATAAAACCTCCTTTGCCAGTCCAAATGGTCTGTAAAGATATTGAACAAATCAAACCTTTGCGTCCGTGATAAGCCTGTTCAGTGGCGCAGATCTGCTTGAAACTGAATTATTGTGCGCGCGGACATCCTGGTCGAAATGAATGTAACTGATCAGAACTTAAAATGAATGTTCATAAAGTCATGAAAAGCGTTCCAAGTCGGTAAATGACGTACCTCTCCTCTCGTCACCTTCTGTCTATATACTCACTTGACGTTATTACCGCTATCAGGGAGGTCATTTTATTGTAGTAATTAATGTCCATTACGTGAATTTCAGGGTCAATTTTGAGTGAATTCTTCAGTTGTACCCAATCGAAAAACGTTACGCATTTTCAATATCAGAGGGAAAATATAGCTGTTTTGGGGCCTTAAACCATTATGTCGAGTCATTGTTATTAAAAATAGTCGGTGGTCTGAAAAGTTTTAATTTTCTAGTTGCAAATATATAGGCATGTACACTCATTACATGCATGACCGAGTATATATATCGGAGCTTGCCGCAATTGAGTTTCATAGACGCACGAGTTGACAGCAATTCATTTTGGGTATAAGCGGCGTAGCCAGTGTTGCACAATGATTATATGACTGAGAAAATTACTTCACTGTGATTGGCTGAGAGCATGCCAATTTATCATTAATTCTTAATTAGAACTGCAGTGCAAATTAACGCAAGCGCGTTAATTCGCACTATTCTCAGTCATATAATAAATGAGTATATAATTGTTTGAAAGCTCGAGCAGGCATTTATACTACTCGTGATATTTGAAATTTCTTGAATGTTGAGAGAATTTTCAAATATGTCACTTGTCGTGTAAAACTTAATTGCACTCGCAATCATACGATTACCTAGACTTATTGAATTGGACCGCAGTTGCGGAGACTAAAGGTCCCAATATGGAAAATTTGGCCAGATTGTTCTCATACAAGTATGTACGGCTCAGTCCAAACGTAGGTATAGGCCAAATCTGCATACGAGCCAAGTGGCCTATCAGACCGGAGCTTATCCCGGTTTCTGTAGCATGAAGAGACTAGGAGTATTTCTCCTCCCCCTGGAGGGTTCCCCCTCCCCTCCCCACAGTGATCCATTTAGGCACTGGAGGTAAGAGAGGCACTATGAGAGTAAAGTGTCTTGCCCAAGAAAACAACGCAATGTCCCCGGCCAGAACTCGAACCTGGACCGCTCGATCCGGAGACGAGCGCATGCGCACTAACCACGAGGCCACCCTATCACACCAATATCTGTCAATACAGACTGAACAAGCTAATTCAATAAAGATGCTGAATTTATTAAAGATCTTTTTAATATGACATTTTCGATAAATAAATACTTACATGCTTAGTAATTGCACACGACAGATCGAGTTCAGGGTATACTCGAGCATTTTCGCAGGAAAAACTTTGACCAAAACTGGTGGGAACACATGACAGAAATTAAGTTGTGTATTCGGACTCGTCCATCTTAGCTGTTGGATCCTCTTGAATAAAGGTCAAGGAATCGGATCTGAATGCTTCTTTTAATTCTATCATCGATCAGGTCAAGTTGCAATAGGTAAACATTTTTCAAATGAAACAAGCATGGATAATCAAATGTTGACGATTGAGTAAATTTAGGAAATAATTTCACGTGCGTTTTGTCAAAATTCTAGGCGAGGGAAATTATTAGAACGTTGACAAAACGTAAGTGAAATTATTTCCTAATTAATTATACCATCTGATTACCTTTAAAAATCGCGGGTGACAAATTACGCTTACAATCATGAGATTTTGATTTGTTTATTGTATCCGAAATTTCGCGCGAAAACGTTACTATGGCAATTTTATAATTTGACATGTAAAATTAGACGCTGAAATTTTGCGCCAAAATTAAGGAGTAATTTGTCACCCATGATATTATTACGGCTACTTTTTCAGTGGTCACCACAAACCCTGTCAGTGTCAGTTTCATACAAGCAATCAAGCTTCTCTCTGTAAGTTTTTCTTTGAGTTTTTAATATCCACGGATATGATTTAGTCTCTACCCAGAGCTTTTAATAAGTTGGTCACAGCTTGACCAAAACGTTATCCAAGACGCCATTTTGACACCTGCCGGCTATAAAAAAAGTCCTTTAGGGTGACAGACTCTTGCATGTGAATCACGTAATTGTTTGAGGCTTTAGCTTATATACCGAGTCGCAAACTGAAAAACATGGAAAAAATGTTGCACGAATGGAAGCATATCAGTGTATGATATGACGTGCGCTTTTTGTTAAATTTGTGTAGAGGGGAATGAACATGCATTGTGTAATCGAAATGTAAATTTAGCTCCCAAATGTTGCCTAAAGGACTACGCATAAAGATTATCACGACTGTAGTACCTATTAGTATGAGACTGAGTGGGAGCGTTAAAGTAGTTGTGCAGATGTAGTTTCTACGAAGTCATCATGACAAGGTGTTTTCTTTTTCCACGACACTAGTGCTTGGTCAACCCTGAAAGTGAATGTGTTTTCATATAAAAAGCTTGAGGTCGTTCAAGTTTCATTTCGTCATTTGCCGCATCCTGTGCAAACAAGACGTGAATTTGTAAGCAGTTCGCGAACTTACGGACTGAAACGTCTGAAAAAAGCCGTGCTGTTACACATGTACGCTTCGCTCCTTGGGTAACAAAACAAATTACTCCCACTACAAGCGATGATGCGGTTTTGTTTCGTTCCGGGCTGTTACTCCGTCTCTTTGTTTTCGCTTCTCGCCGTTTCTTAGTTGGAATAATGCCGTGTAATTGTTATTGAGAGGGAACGCAGTTTTTTACAAATATGTGAATCAGCTGTGATACATCATCCTAAGAAAAAACGCACACATGACAACTTGTAGAAGACAATAAACTATATCCGCTGTATTATACTGCTCTATTCGTTTAATTATGTCCGTGAAAGGAAAGCTTGTTATGGCACTTAGCGCCTCAATAGTTTTCACGAAAAAAATGGCATTCTCCAATCACGCGTGACTCTTACGTCATTATGACGTCATTGGAGCGATGAGTCAAACAATTTCATATAAACTGCAAACACGACATGTGCAAAAATAAATTGCACTCTACTTTTGCTGTCTTTGAAGACTTATGCGTTAAAGTAAGAAAAAGATTAGTCGTCATAATCGACGTATGTTGCGAAATTTAATGTACATTGGAAATTAATCAAGAGTGACTTCTTGACTGCAAGACCTACGTGATGCAAACTGGCTCGAGATTCAATTGACCGAATTTGCAATTTTCGCCACAGAAATTAATGGAATGACTTTTTAAACAAGCGAATTAGCAAATCGTTGGCTCATTAGTCAAATTAACACCAAGCGGAGCATGACACTATCTCGACGACCTCTCTCCAAATAGCCGCATCTATTTCAAGATCAGCTTCTAACAATAAGTTTCATCGATTTTTCTTCCATTTATGTTATTTTGACGGGAAGCATCTGGTCTTTTATCTTTGCCCAAAGTAGCTACGTCAAAAGGCAATTTTCTCTTCTTGCTCGGGGTAAGTTATTTCTTATTTTTTTTCTGCAAATTTGCATTCGCTTTGAACGTCCCTAAACTTTTAGTGAAAACATAAGATCGAGTGGGTTTCTGCTTGATTCTCTTTCCCACTCCCGGAAAATAGGACGATTTTAATGACTGACGTATAACGGCTTTTTCCTGCATATTTTCCTTCCGTCAAGAATTAGTAAGTCGGGAAAAACAGCGTAAGCAATGTCTAAAAAAATAGTACAAAACGAGGAATAAGGAACAGTTGGAATCAGCTCGTGTTGTTTAAACTAAGAATAGATAGGTTACGTTAGGCGCTAAGAGCGAATAGTTCTATGTAGGCTCTCAGCATAGCATAAAATATGGTGGAGAAGAAAAGTTTTAATTGAAAATATATCATCTTATATTTATGACAATGCTTGATTTGATTTCTTGTGACGGAACGTACCAACTCCACGTACCTATTACGGGTTTTATTTGCAATATTTTGTAGCCTAAGGCTGTGTTTAAAGCATGCTTGGTATGTCATCCAGTTTATTATTAATTCAGTATTAATTGCCGCAGTTTAATTTTACCTGAATTTTTCCTGTTTACTTCCATCACTCACCCAGTTGGTGTACGTGAGCCGTGCCATTCTTTCCCAGATTTCGTCATGTTCTTCTTATTTTCAGGGGGGTGCGAAGGAAGCGGAAGTGAGGTCACCAAAGCGTCTCGATTGGTGTTCTTGTCACGTGGCCACAGAAAATAATGGCGGACATAGTAATGGTCGCCTTCATGAATAACGGGAGATGAAGATGTCTTGGAGAAGATCGTATGATTTTACTCCACGGGTAGTAGAAAATGAATTGGATTCGTCAGACGACAGTGACTCCGAAGCTGGAACCGAAAACCTTAAATTGTATCACCGAAGAAAATCTACGGTAACTGCTGTGAAAGCCAGGGTGAGTAAAGTCATGTTGGCTAAAAATTACAACCGGCAAGAAATGCTCAGCTCTTCTCGAGATACTAGGTAAACCTGTCGTCGCTTTATTCTTGACAGACCATTCTAGGAATTTCCAAAGGCAATATATTAAAACTTTTAAGCCTAGAATGTTTAATTTCTAGTTTTCTTTTGTTTACGAAACACTGCCAGTGTGAATTCGGTCGATGTTCGATTGTGGAGAAATCTGTGGTGAGTTGTACTCGCTGTGGAATTGATCTTTGCTGCTGTACGGCAACGAGAGTTTTAGATTCTATTTTTTCCGCCATGTTCTAGGAGAAAAAATGTGATCGAAGAATATTTCCACGAAATCAAGATTTGTGGTAATTTTCGTGGCATATGATCACGAAGAGTCGGTCACCCGTACAGGGTGACTTTTGGCATTGTGCTAGCGTATATCAAAACAAATCTCTCGCTGTTTATAAGAACCTTTGTAACTGTAACCTGTTTCTACCTGTCTCCTCTAAAACATGCCTAAAATTTGCACTTTTACGTTTCAAAAAATGGCATTCATGCCCAACATGATGGTACGCTTAATATTCGATCCGCTATTTTTGAATCGCACTGTAGGTCAAAATGTGAGGATTTTCATTCGGCCGGCCGTGAAACCAATATATTTATAGGTTCATTTTAAGTAGCATTAGTCTTGCCTGTTGTAACATTTTGGTGATCTTATGTGGGTTGATGTTTTGGCTAAGAGAATTTTTGATTACCAGACCGCAAGCTTGCTAGCTACCTAATGTATGCACCTGTGTGTTCGTTTTGAATATAAATATAGTTACTGAGTAGTCCCTGTTGTTGTGGGTTTGCGTCACGGCTCATTGAGACCGGAAAATGAGATGGTGCAAAACTATTGAAAATCGTTGTTATTGTGAGCAGAAAGAATTACTCTGCGATTATTTTCTCGTCACTCTTTCTAATGCTCGCCTTTCAAACGGTTTTTAGATTTATTTTCTTCGGGATCATTGCTTCAAGTTACACTGTCCATATGAGATATTTGTAAGAAAATCGATCTCAGTCGCCTTTCATACAACCCTGGCCAAAAAAGATTGCTTAGTATGATGGCAAAATTTGCAACCGAAAAGGTCCAAAGGGGAGATCAAACGGTAGAGGTGTAAATCAATATTGTATCAGCTTGTACATGTTTTAATTCTGATCGCAGTTACTTATATTTTCAGTTATGTTTTTCAGGGTTGTATCAAGGAGGGATTTTTGCTCAAACAAACCGGTTCATTTCAGGTAGGTCCAGTATTTTTCTCTGGAAATTGACCTTGTCAACCTAAAATAACACAGATACATTATAATACAACGAGGACAGTATAAATTTGTCCTTAAAATTTTGTTTGCACTCAGTGAAGTAAGACAATGAGCAATTTAAATATAACTTTGCAGTGGTCATATCAATTTTGTGACGAGAATTCTTATTTGCCCACTGACTAAAGATGAAGCGCAACATTAGTTGTTTGTCCAGATCAAAAAATCTTTTGTAATCTTTGACAAATTAGTAAGGAAAGTATAATCTAAAGAGTTTTAATGCATAAAATTGTCAGCCCATCCCTCTCGATAATGTTCTCCAGCCTTTGTTAATAATTAATGGCATTTTCCCAATCAAAATTTAAATCCCAATTTAAGGATGATAATTTCAAAAAACAGTCTTTTGTGTAGCCAGCACAACAATGGAATATTTTCTAATTAAACTGAGATGTCAAAGTGAAAAAATGACATCTTATTATGCTGCTTATACCATACTGCTGAAAGTTTTGCTCGCGATCAGATTGAGTGTATGTTTGGATTGGTACAAGCCATTTTAGGTTAACTTGTCCTGTTTATATGCAACCATCAGCTGTAATAAGAGGTTTATTACAAGTGATTACATTGCCCTTACTATTATTCTTTACGTTTTGTCTTGAGTCTAGCAATGCCCTGTAAAACAACGCAGGTGCTTCCTAATCACCAAGTTATTTTTGTTTTATTCTATATGAGACGTAAAGATTATAATCTGTGGTTTTGTATGTTACCATGGTGAAAGACCTTACGTTCAATAAAGATCGCATCACAAATGAGCTTGAAATGACAGAATAATCCAGCCCTTGAATATTCAAGATCATGTATTGGGAATCTTGTGAAAGTTACAAATAAACAAGAGCATGGAATCATGGAAAATTTCTGAAATATTAATGAGATGCTGGAAACAAAATGAATTTTTAATGACAAACAAAATTCTCTCTCTCTAGTAGAGTGGGGAAGTGGGGGGGGGGGGGG